AGTATAAAACTAGTGGTTGCGTCCTTATCTTTCTTCTTCCAAACACACAAATCTCTAAATGACAACTAACCATACAAACCCAAAATTAAAACGTAAGTTGCAGGTTACAGTAAAAGTAAGTAGGTGAAAAATTCATTAAACTTAAAAAAATAAACGGTATCAGCATTCTGACACATACTTTCTCCCATAAGCTTGTCAACAATCATGGGTAAGCGGCGAGAGTATGATATTTATAGTTAAAAATCACAAAAGTTGCAACAACTTTTGAGCCATAATTTATTGTTACAGCAATGTTATACTAACTTATTTTTTTATAATTATAAGGACCACATATTAATTTCGATCCAAACTAGTTTTTCTCCAAAAATCCGATTGTTTTTATTATTTTATGGTTTTCTTATTGGAAAATAACATAACTTACAATAACTTTTAAACCGTAATTCTAACAGAAATGGGAGTACCATTTTGTTTAAAGGGAATTTAAAAGGCTACAACATACTAAATTTTAATCAAAATAGTTCGGGCCATTTTCGAGAAAATCCAATTTTTCCGTTATTTTATGGGGGTTTTTTGAGAAAATCTCCATTAAGGAAAAAAAAACTCAACACTGTTGGACCATAACATAGCCTTCTAAGTTAGGCTAAATCAAAACTGGTTTTTTTCTAAAATCCAATTTTTTTATTATATGGGGTTTTATGGGAAAATAATAGTTTACAATAACTCTTGAACCGTATTTTTTAACAAAAATGGGAGTCGTGCCATTTTGTTCAGAATTTAAAGGGCTACAACATAAGTACTAATTTTTTATAAAAATCGTTCGGGCCATTTTTGAGAAAATTGTGCTTTCCGTTACTTTATGGACAGAAAAGTAAATCAGTCCTGGGTCCAGGTCATACCATGAGTACTACGGTAATAAGCTCATTCCCTATATGGGAAATTCGCTAAAACAGTATACATTTTATAAAGCTACTAGTATCTCACTTATTTACCACGTTCATGCTATTCATATTTGTTTGGTTCCTTGCGTCCCATTCTAATAAAACTCAATGATGGCGAAGATACGTCTTATTTTAAAATTGAATAGTTTTACCTGAGTAGTGTCAATGAATACACAAACTATAGTTTGTGTATTCATTGGTAATGTTGTAATATTCACAACAAAACCTCTGCTTTTGGTCGCAGCAGATGCCTAATTACCGGTTTATATTTATTCTATACTGTATTTAGATTCTGATGGATTCAGAGACACAACAAAGCAGGCCACAAAATTGGAGCCTCGAGAAGCAGAAAAACACAGATAACAAACTATTGTTTGACTAACAAGGGTTCCTATTTGGTTTAGTGGGGGATGAAGGATCTCCGAAAAACTGAACAAAAACCAAAACAGGTTCTAGAACTAGCAGACAGGTGTTCTAGCAGGTCAGACGTGTTATTATTGGTGGGTCTAGGATGAAATTACACAACCACACAGGCCTTGTTAGATTGGGATTAGAAGTAAGCGCATCTAAAATTATTAGTAGCAAGGTGTAATAAAATATACCTGGCATATTTTTACTATTTAAGTATTTTTACCGCATTGAACAAGTTATCGAGAAACACGTTGACTTTTTATTTGGGGCCAAAAATCGGACCAACAAAGGATTTTAGCATTAAATTACAGCGAAGAGTAAATAAACTCGAAATAGCTTTATGTAATCCTACAGTTTTTTTATTGTAACAAATAACAGATTGTTCCTTTGACAATCCAATAGTCAATGGCGATAGAGGCTTTAGGGATATGGTAGGGATTGAACGCGGTTCAAGTCTTTATGTGTTCCAAAAATTGTCCAATACAAATAACTTGTTAAATTGTTATGTTAATGTTTTTGAAAAATGTACACTTTTCTATTACAAATTGTCCTAAAATAAATAAATACTAGGAAACACGTTGCTCGAAATCGAGCAATTGCCAAGAAGTAAAGTAGTTATTTAAAAACAAATAAAAGTCATCATAATTTCCGATGAGTTTAAAAGACTTTGAATTGAAAAATAAAACAGCAATTAAATTATACAGCTGATCAAAATGTAAACAATTGTGTTCTTCATAAGGATAACATGGGAACTTTTAACAGCCACTGGGGCAGAGCCCAAGGGGCTTTTTCAAAAATGTAAGGCCAGTTTGCAAATCTACGCGACACGCCCTTTCCAATGAGATGTCAATGGATAAAATCGGTTAAGAAATGGCGGAGGAGTTCAACCGACAAAGTTTCATGTAGCGTATTAATTATATAGGCTAGATAATTTAATACATTTCAGTAAATACATTTCATTGTTGGGAAATAAATACATTTACCTCCAGACTTTTTTTTAACTTCATTTTATTTTACAATCTGTTCAGTACTGTGAACAATTAGTAAAAGGGATAATATAAATAAGTGACTTGACCAAGAATCTCTCCAGTGAAAGATCTTGCAAAATTAAATAGGTAGTCATTTCATGTAACTAAAACTATACAAATCGGTAAGGGAGTTCAAGAACTTTCAAAATTTTCAGTCTGTTTGGAAAATCACTATTGTCCAGCAAGTTAACGGCTAGATATTATTCGGGTGGGTTTCGAGTTTTTCTTGATATTTCTTGCCAATTCTTGTTATTTCTTCAATTACTGTAGGTATTTTGAAATCTTCATGGATTGTTTGATTCAAGACAAACCATGGGGCATCAACTATTCTTCGTAGCGCCTTTGACTGAAATCTTAGAATAATTGCTAAGTTGGATTTACTTGTCGTTCCCCAAAGCTGTATCCTGTACGTCCAAATAGGTTTGATCATAACTTTGTAAAGTGTGAGTTTATTGTCCAACAAAAGCTTTGATTTTTTGCCTAGAAGCCAGTTGAGTTTACGAACGTTCAAGTCCATTTGTCGTCTTTTACATCAAATTTGTGTTTTCCAGGTTAATCTTTTGTCCATGTGGAATCCTAAATACTTAACGCTGTCCACTTCTGTCAACGCTATGTTATTCAAAGTAACTGGAAGGCAGTTTTCTTGTCTCAGCGTGAATGTAATATGTAAAGATTTTGTTTCATTAACTTTAATTCTCCACTTTTTTAGCCACAATTCAAAATCATTTAATGTCTAACTTGCAATTGATTTGAAGCATCTTGAGGATTTTTGTGAATGGAGAGAAATGCAGTATCATGACCTGCAAACGTAGCAACCGTAATATTTTGGCCCACAGGGATGTCGGAGGTATATAGTAAATATAATACAGGTCCAAGGACACTGCCTTGGGGTACTTCAGATTGAATAGGCTTCAAGTCGGTTAAAATGTCTTGAAATTTAATCTGGAAGAATCGTGCAATTAAGTAAGATTTTAACAAACTGTAATAAGAATGGGGAGCAAGGATTTAAGTTTATCCAGAAGTCCAGTGTGCCAGACTTTATCGAATGCCTGTTGTACATCCAGAAATGCAGCAGAACAGTATTTTTTTGTTTCAAATGAATTTTTAATGATGTCTACTAGATGCTACTAGTCTGTGGGTTTGTTCAACTGTAGACTGTCCTTTCCGAAAGCCAACCTATTGATAGGCGATAGCATTGACTATACACCTCTATGGCGATAGGCTAGGCATATAGGCATTGAACACGGTTCAAGTCTTTATGTGTGCCAAACATTGTCCGATACAAATAACTTGTTAATTATTGTTATATTAAGATGTTTTTACAAAATGTACACTTTTCTATTACAAATTGCCCTAAAATAAATAAATATAATTTAATACATTTAAAATAAAAAAATAGGTCTACATTTCATTGGTGGGAAATAAAAATACATTTGCCTCATCCAGACTTCAATTTCTTTTTGGAAACTCAAACACTGTAAAAAATGAAAGACCAATAATTTTTATGTGGAGCATGAAGATAATAGAAACCCAGGTCTTTAACATGCCAAGAAGCCCTTCTCAAAGTCAACAAATAAAACTAAAATCGTACTCGACCAACTATTTTTTTAGAAATTCTAAATTACCACATTAGTGGTACCGGTGCCGTGAAAGATTTTTTGGTGTGTATTTACGCCCTAGTTTAGAATTAAATACAAGGTAGTTAACTCAGGTGAATAACAACTGTTTCATTCGGAACATAGCCTCTCTAAGCTCACTTTACCAACATAGTAGGCCTACTTTTAAAAACTCACTTGGACCCAGACCCACTGTTAGCATGTGATGCGCTAACTTATGGGCCTGAGAGGGAGAGATATTTCCACCCCCCTTCGCCCCTTCCTTACGGAAAATTTCTCCTTGCGGCTCCAACAAGCCAACTATACCACATCAGAGTCCATGACCGACAATTAAATTGCAAACATACGGTAGGTAGCTAGCTATCTTCCTATCATCCCTGGATGTAATTTCTAACGTCCAAGTATATATGTAGGGCCTAGGCCTATATATAATATTGTGAACTGTTTGTTCACGTTGTGCAAGTCCTATTTTATTCTTCTGTGCGTGTAAAAGTAAATTTTTATTTTCTGTTGAGACGCAATCTACCCCTGTATTTTGGGTAAAAGATGAAGAAAGGAGTAAGTAACAAACCTAAAACCTCTTGTGCCCTTTACTAAAGCGGACCTGCTTGGCACCACGGTAAAAACATTAATTAGGCCTTTAAGTAACTAGGTACCTTCGGGTAGAATATGAATCAGACATCCCACCTCAATGGAAAAGTTTAGCCAGTATTTGAATCAAAGTGGATGCCTAAATTAGACGTTTAATTGAGTCACCAACAGAGTCTACTGATGTAAATTAACAAATTCTGTTGAATTCACCAACCTTTCAACCAAGACAAAATGATAGGAAATCTTCTTTTAGGCCAACTGTTACAAACTAGGCCTATTAAAGGTATATTTAAGTTCAACAGCTAGGCCTATATATCAGTAAAAGAAATTAAAGAAGTCCCACCCCTGCCATAAGTCTTTTAATTTAGCTTAGGCTAACTATTTAAATAGGCTAAAAAATTGTTGCTGGAACTTACCTTCAACTTTTCCCATTGCAAGGATGGTTATAGTTTTGACAGCCGGAACAGCCCATGCTGCAAGATGAAAGTACTGAGAGTTGGCTTCAATAGCTTCATGTCCCCATTTTAATCCAGCAGCCAAAAACCAAGTCAGAGTCAACACTACCCACCAAATCGAAGATGCCATTCCAAAAAAGTACAACACCATAAAAACAATTGTGCAAAGTTCGTGTTTTGTTCCTTGAGTTATTAAAGAAACCATGTGAAGATGAGGTATATGAACGGGTGGGGGAAAAGGTTTCTGACAGGCTATCGTATCTCCTGAACCAAAACCGATAACGTAAGCAATGGAAACAGCGAGATAACACACTGACAAAAATATTATAGGTCGCTCAGGATAACGAAATCTATCTGTATCAATCATAAATGTTAAAACAGTGAAAAGACAAGATGCACAACATAGAACTGACCAAACTCCAACCCATATCCTTGCAAATCTTCTTTGTTCTTCAGTAAAAAACATACCATCACAAGGTGCCCCACAGTCTTTTTCGATTTTGTCTCCAACTTTAAGTGAATAATCCATGCCTTTAGGAACTTTGAATTGAACAGGACAAGCAAAGCCGAAGTCTCTTGCGCCTTCAGGTATGTGAGGGTAGTTTGGTAAGCCTATACTATGATCATTGGGCATTCTAGAACCATAGCCAGGACGGGCATACCCTGAACTTGGAAATCCCATTCCAGAATGAGCTGTTTGCCCAATACTGGTCCTAGTGTTACCACTGTTGGCTCCAGCAGTGTTATTTTCTCCGACACAAATGTCAGGACCTCCAGCTTCAGGAAACTTAGCACAATCAAGATCGTCCGGCCACGGAAATCCAAACTTATTCATCAACTCTTCACACCCATTTCTAGCAGACAAACACAATGATCTACAAGGAGGGATAGCTCTGTCTAATATGGTGCAGACTGGAGCATACATTGAACAAAGGAAAAACTGAAGATCATGACTACATTTAACTTTGACAAGAGGAAAAAACTGATGAACTTCTAGACCAGCATCTTCTTGCTTTTGATGGTTCAGTAGGTTAGGCATTATTGTTTCATTGTACTTAATATCCAAACAGAAAGGAATTGTAATAGGTTCACATCTACCATGATGAGGCAAACTATCCCTATCCGAGACTCTGGATGAACTGTGCTGCGATGATAAACCTTGTGATGCACTGACAAAAACAGTCAAGCATAGGAGGTGGCGTACAGCATGAAATCCCATGGCAAAACTTAATAAATTTCACTTTGTCACTTAAATTTACGCTACTTAGAATTTTAGATTCAAAGCAACGCACAACACTGAAGGTTATGTGACTTGTAAACACAAAACCTTTTCACAATTTTCATCACAAAAAACTGGACACTCAGGTCAAAATATTAACAAATATCAAAATTTCACTACAAGACACGAAATAATCACAAATTTTAATTCAGCACCACCGACAATATACGCGATTTGCATTTTAATCCGACACAACCGTCAATAAACAAACCCGACAACACGACCGACGAAACCAAGAACCAAACCAAGACGACTACGACTACGACTACGGCCGACGGCGGTATTTCAAAATGGCTTCTTACCGAGCTGAGCTCTGTCGGCAAGTAATGGAACTTTAGTCACTGCTACCAACAGGACAAAATGAAGTCCACGATTAGACTTTTGACGTACTCTTAAACATGTGTATTATGGTACTTAAACATTTTAATTTCTTAAAAAATTACCATGAAACGAATAATGAGCAGATTATCGTCCAAATACTTGTTTGATTTTCTTCACAGACATCTCCAATAGATATTAGGTCAGGTCTGTTATACCAAGGGAGTATTTAGATTAAACCATAGATAAAACATTAAACCAATAAACATACTCATAAATCTATAAGGTTATGCTATTTTGAATTAACCTTGTTATATGACTTCCTGGTCAACACACCTTATAGCAAATCTTATATATTTAAAAAAATTGGTTTTTCTTTTCCGAGTTCGTTTGGCTCTTCTACCCAACCAATTTTCTTGATTGAGGTCTCAAATTAAAGTCTGCACGCACAGATTTGTCATCAAGCATCGGCATAAATGTATCTATAATCCCACTCGACATATACGTAAACGAAATTTGCTCCCCATGTATTTCTAATGGGAGTTAAATTTGGATTTTCTTTTCCGAGTTCGTTTGGCTCTTCCGACCGATTTTCATGATTGAGGCACTTGAGGTCTCGAATTGAAGGTATGCACGCACAGATTTGCCATCAAGCATCGGCATATCTATAGTCTCACTCGGAGTTCGTTTGGCTCTTCTACCTTTACCCGACCGATTTTCATGATTGAGGTCTCAAATTGAAGGTCTGCAAGCACAGATTTGCCATCAAGTATCGGCATATATTTATCTATAGTCCCACTCGGCTTATACGTAAACGAAATTTGCTCACCATGTATTTCTTATAGGAGTTAAATTTGGTTTCTCTTTGCCGAGATCGTTTAGCTCTTATACCTGACCGATTTTCATGATTGAGGTCTCAAATTGAAGTAATGCACGCAAAGTTTTCACATTAAGCATTGGTATATAGGCTACTTACCTACTGTATTACTCCACTAATCGATTTCGATTGAACACTCCAATCATCATCAGACCCAATAGGCAAAGAATGATCAGGAACAGTTGGGCTAGGTCCAGTTTCGATTGGACCATCAATGCATGAGTGACACTAGCGTCTCAGTTTCCTGGTCAGGAACCGATGAGATCCTCTTCTGCAAAGGAGTGGGGGATTGTGGGAGAGCCCCTCACGTTGATTTAAGAAAAATTAATTTTTAAATTGTAAAGAATTAAACCTAACCAACCAAACTTGCTGATACTGTAATACAAAAAAGATACAAGATAAAAATCGAAAGAAGGTTTTCTAATCATAAAATAAAATTATAAATGCTTTAATGCTTTAAAGTCTAACAAAAGATGTACAGTTAAGAAGTAATGGCATTCTAAGCAAAATCTTTGACAAAAAGTTAATGTCTTCAGCGGGATACCTCATGGACATCAGTCAAGAATGCTAACCACTACGCCACGAATACCGATGGCTTCGCTTTGTATCGTTGCGGTAATGGTGTTCCCTCAAGAGAAAAGAGGGAAACCGAGCCGCTATAAGAGAGTACCCCTTTGAACTTATATATAGAATATATCATTATTTTACAGGGTGTCGATTTTCTGGCAGAGTTGCTTGCCTGTGCTACTGCTTCCTCCAGTCCAGTTCTCTTCTCAGTTTGTATTTCTACTAGATCATAGTTTAAGGCATTTTGTTGTTTACTATTTTAGTCTACACAGACTAGGAGGGTGAATCTACTTTTTTTAATGTCAATCAATGTTTTAGCAGTTTTTCGTCTGCTCTCTGTACTACGACAGCTAATTAATCTGTCATAGAATCATCGATATTTCAATACTTGGCCAGTAACATCGATGTAACAAAAAATCTGTAATCTATCATCGATTTAAAGACATTGAACATTGAAAGAAAAACATCGATGTTTCTATCAATGCTCATCCCTACTCCTAGGATGCTAGGCTCTAGCTTAGAACTGTTTTAAATGGGTTACATCTGGCTAGGATTGTTTCCAGTATTATCACATACCAGTTGTTAAATTGTTGATTGGCGGAGTTTGTACCTGGGGCCTGAGGGACTGAAACCCACACTTTACCAGCTCGCTCCTAGATATTTGATATTTTAAGATACATTTAGTTGATAAAATACACTTGGAGAACTACTAGTATTGATATGTTAAGTGAAAAAAACCATAGTACATTAGTTGTTACTTAGGAAGGGAATCCTATCCTATAGGTCCTACCATAGACTAACCAACACAAGTAGACTTCTCATCCCATTGTAAATTTTGAAGCACGTTTTTCGTGTCTAGTTCATGTACGTGACACAAAGGCGCTAGTGTCGATGAAACCTTGTTTCAATTATTTTAGGGTTAATTTCTTGATTTCTGCTTTACTGTTTGGTTATATAACTAGGGGACAAGTTATTGTTTATGATTAGATCGTATTATTTGGTTAAACGAGGTTTTAAATGGCTGTAATAATGGGAAACAAATTGTAAACAAAACACGACCTCTACATAAACCGTACATGAACTAACAATAAATTGTCTTCAGCTGTTCCATAAGGATGAGAAATCTACTAAGGGAGTATGTTTTATCTATGGTCCTACTCTAAAACAAGCGTGTGTAGGAACAAACTTTTATTTTCGTCCAAGAATTTTTATTGATTTATTTTTGTTAGTGAGGGGTGTTAGTAAGGGGCTACGAGAAATCGATTGGAGTTGGGCTCAAAGCTGGGAAAGATCCAGTTTCTACTCCACAGCCCTCGAGAAAGTGCCCATGTTGTTATAATCAATACCTTTTTGTTCTGCAGATAACAAAAACAGCTGATACAGGTAATTTTTTATTGCAATCAATGTATTTATTAAGGTGTAAAATGTTTTCTTTGTATCATCTAAAATTTTTTCACATTGATTACCGTTTATAATAAATATCTTTAATTTAGCTAAATTCTAATAAATTTAATGCTTAATTCAATCCAAGCAAAGCTCGGTCTCCAGGTACTGAAATGATAAAATAATGGAATTACTTAAGTTTTTGTTTGTTTTAATCTTTTACTTATTATTACTTACAACTATGATAATATAAATCTAAGAGAATACATTATATAAGTTCATTACTGAGGGCAAAAAGAACTACAATGATCAAAAATGGTTTTACTTTTTATGCTAAAAAACAACACAGCATGAATACATAATCTGATATGTTAGGATCTAAACATATTACATAGCTCTAGGCCTATATACAATCATTATTGTTCAATCTAGCAAATCATTGGGAATTCTTACAAATCAAGCTTGAAACTAAATATTCTGGTTAAAATTGTTATAGTGGAAAACGGATTGTTGCAATAATTCCTCAAAAGATTACCTAAGTTTAGAGCCTTTAGGAGACAAATTGATGCATTTTTTATCAAATTACCCATAAAGGGAATACGGTAGAACCTCTTTAATCCGAACTAATCGGGACCTGGGGTATTTCGGACTATTGAATAGTTCTGATTAAACAGAACATATTGTTGTTTTAACATAACTATAGCTAAAACATGGCTAAAATGGATCATAATTGTTACAGGAAAGGTGAAAAAATTCTTTATAAAATTAAATGCAGTGTTTAATTGATACAGTAGTAAACATAGTGAATAAAGATTAATCATATATTATATTTTTAAGCTCTTTAAAAAGGCCTAGAGAGATATTCGACAAGTTTGTGTTGTGAGGGTCAAAAATGAGAAAAACCAATTTTTACTCCACAAAACCCCCGTTAAACCCCGTTCCCATGGTCCGATCAATGCTGGTTCGCGAACTCATTCAAGTTTATCCTGCCTTACACCTTTAAACCAAATTTCATCAAAATGACTCAAGTTATCATGGACGCGCATATATATATATATAAATTTGAACGAATGGTGTTTTTGGCCTCTGGAGACATCAAAATGAGAAAGTCAATCGGTCCCGGGCCTAGGTCCACCTACCGTAATAGCTAATTCCCTGTAGCGAAATTCGCTAAAAATCTGCTCTCACAAAGAATAATGTTAAGGATAGTAGTCTTTGGAATAAATACCAGCTTAAGGGTAATTTAAACAAGGTGTGGTTGCATCAAACTAATTACCGGTACTAAAGAGAAAGTTTACTGCTACTGATTATACTTCAATGACACAAGTCATTGTATAAAAACTAAAAATATCTTAAAGAAAATAATAACAAATAAAAATGAAAACTAGCCAAAAACAACACTTATCTTAACATCACGATTCAGCCTATAGGAAACAAAAATTGTCTACACAGAATAAATGAGTTGTGAAATAAATGCAAAATCATGCTTGCCTGGCTTTCCAAATAAAGATACGCTGTCTTTCAGTGAAAACTTGATTCCGAACGATTCCTCGACCGTACACATCTTCTGGTTCAAATAGTAGGTGTTGTTTGTGTATACAATCACTGTATACGTGTTATTCTTCTCAAGCTTGACTGACTCCTTGAAATGCAGATCGACAAAAGAGTTGTAGGCGACTTTCCCACTGTAGTTGATTGAACCGACCATAGGTTTGTTGGGTTTCGAAGCATTTTGGATCGAAACAATGTAAGTCTCTTCATAGAGTTTGGGTGCAGCCCCCATCATACCAGGGAAAAACGTAGGAACTTGGATACCGTAGAGAGTTATATCCTTGCTGACGAGGAGGTCTAAGGCAAAGTTTTTGCAGCCGAAGGGAGCAGTTAGTGCGGGACCGGGCAGGACAGTTAGTTTGTCTAGCCTGGGACTCTGAGGTGTAACTGCCTGGTATGTACCGAGAGGGTTGAACAACCGGCGAATCAGCCGCTTCAACTCCACCATAGTGCGCTGCTTGGTAGAGATACTGAAGCCCTCCGGCATCGGGTAGGAGCCTGGGACCACCATGTTCATGAGGATGGCATAACTCTCGTCCATGGTCAAGACACTCTCATCTCCTTTGGACTTGCTATAGGCTACTTGACTGTAAAATATATAAAACAGATGAATCACAGGGTTGGATAACTTGTTACAAAAATTAGTTTAAATGTTCAGCATAATTGGTACAAAGATGGTTTGCAAAGGATGAATGAATGAAGTAATATAAGTTTTTTCCACAAAATTAGTAAATTGTACGCATGGTTCAGTTGATGTTTGTTATATAGGGTGATTACCGAGAAACGCATGTTTTTTAAATAACTAGTATTCAGGCAATTCAAAGCAAAAAATATATTTATGAGTGGAAAAACAGTGTACACAATATGCAATTTAAGAATAAAATTACTTACAATTTAGTGTTTAAAAATTACATATATAAGGTAATCATTCGCCTTCTGCTTTGATACAGTGTTGAAGGTGTTCCTTAAAACGTGCTACGGATTTTGCTAACATGTCTCTATGAATGGCGTTGATTTCCTGGCGAATAGCTTCTTTAAGTTCCTGTATTGTTTGTGGTTTGCTTATGTAAACTCTAGATAAAAAAACCAATGAAAGAAATCGGGAATTGCAGGATCCGGTGAGCGAGAAGGCCAAGTGACATCACCAAAACGTGTGATAACTCTTGTAGGGAATGTTCGAAGAAGGAATTCCATACCAAGCAGAAGGTGACCATCTTAGAGATTTAATTTTTAAACACTAAATTTTAAGTAATTTTATTTTAAAATTGCATGTTGTGTACCTTGTTTTTACACTCGTAAATATAACTTTTTCTCTGAATTGCCTGAATACTCGATATTTGAAAAACATGCGTTTCTCGGTAATCACCCTATATATTTTAAATTACCTACAGTTCTTGAATATGAACATGGTTTGTTGTAGTGGTTTGCAAAAGATGGAAACTAGATATACAAGGTGTCATAACCATTTAAAATATATAAAAATCAGTGATTATTCAATGAGCTTTTGCCTTGAACATGTTATGAAATAACTCTAGTTCATGAATAAAAATAGAAAAAAAACTCCTTCAATTTTAGAGACCATGAGTTGATCACTAAGTAAATAATGGAAGTGACTTTTAAAACTGCACCCAGATGTCCTTGATCATAGGGCTGTTTCCTGAATAGTGGTCTTGGCTAAACATACAGCTAGCTAGTCTTAGTCAGATACACAAGGCATCTCACTCCACTCTACACTCATCCTTCGTTTTTATATTTGCATGACGTCAGTAAGCCAGTAACGTTCATATTCCAATTGGTAAAATAACTGATGAATAATTGAATATGAAATATTACTCTATATATTTCAATAAGTATATCAAATATAAATAATCGATTAAATTGTAAAGCGTAATATTTTTCACATTACCTCACAAAAAATTCCTTTGACAGAGACAGGAACCGCAGTTTACTGATAGTTCCGGGCAACAACATGCTGCGTTTATTCTCTTGATTAGGAACCACTTCCATATCTAAACACTTCTGGTGTGCCCACCTCAAGACCTAGAACAATATTAAACTCATTTGAACACAAAGTTAAATTACAAAAGTATCAGTACAATTATGGCGATTGTTTATAAGTATCAAACTGTGTAAGGTAAAGAAATCATACATCCTCTGAGAATAGTATGAATATCAAAATTCATAGGTAAGGGCTGCATAAACCTTTTAACTGTGTTTTGGTGATTGGGTTTGTACGTAAATATGCATTCCATTGAATCTTAAAAACTCGTGCAAAAGACTCATTCAGAATAAAAAATAAAACCATGAAAAAAAACCTACAGTCGTTAGACAGTGTAGGTTTTTTCCTCAACTTTTGGTGAGTAAGTTTTGTCATTGACATTAAAAACGTGGAATTGTTTAAACATTAACTGTCTCTGACACTCACGACTCCAGTGAAACTGGCTGCCTTTCTCTGTGTATTAAGTTGGCCATTGCAGCTACTTCCCAACAGCTTGGAATCAAATCATCTTTATTCCATAGACACAAATTGTATATTGAAAAGTACAATAGTGTATAGGCTGCGTCAACAATATAGTACAACTTAAAACTAATCTAAGGTTGAGGCAAAATAATCTTCTATTTTATAAAAACAGTTTTTTAGTAGAATTTTCTTGATAGCTACTTTAAAACATTTAATGGTAACTTTTTAACTTTAACTGGTAACTTGTTGTACAATTTGGTAGCGGTATATTTGAAGCTACCTTGAGTGGTGGCATAAAGGCACTGATCTATTCTTAAATTATTACAATTCCTTGTGGCATACTTGTGCACATCCTTATTACAAAGTAAAATATCACAGTTGTTTTTAACATATAACAGACATTGAAAGATATAAATACAGGTTAAGGGCATCACAGACAATTTCTTAAATATAGGCTTACGATGACTATGTGGTGGAGCATTGCTGTTTGGAATTATATCAGATTTGAAACTACTCACAAGGTATCACCACCATGCACCACCAAAATAAACAAAACTGTTTGTGAAAAATAAGTTTTTGGCCAGTACTATTACTGTTATGCACTACAGTTACTACTATACTAGTGTTGCTGTACAAACAACGGTAGCCTACTGTAGAGTTTCTACGCTGGAAAAATAATGTACAATTTATCTTTGTAAGATACTGCACTGCAGGCAGTACATCTAGTCACCTAACTGATTAAGATTATCCAAAATTAGTCTTTCTGATCAATAAGGGATAAACTAGAAATTTACATGATACAAAAATAAATTTAAATAGGTTCAAAAAATAAAATGCCATTCCCGGACTTCATGTGGACCCTGCGACTCACCCCCAAGACTAGATCAGCCTCCTCTACACCCAGGCCGTTGTCTGCTACCAGACTAGACACCACAGAACTGTCTACAGTGGGGAACTTGGGGTGCTTCAGCAGATTTGTTATGTTCTTCTTGAAAAACTGTGGAAAAATACACAGGAATAAGAAGTATCTGTTGCATCATAATACAACATTGAAAAAGAAGTTGATAATTGAAACAATGCCGAAGTATTTGCATAGCATAATCACTCAGTTAATTTTAACAAATATTTATTAGGTTTCATGGTTTCATCTTAATTGCTTTATTTGAATATACAATTATTTTAATTTAATTTAATCATACATCTTTCAATTGAAACCATATGTAGGTAACTTTACGATCAGCATCATATGTTTTACTAAATTACCTAAAAAACAAGTACATAAGTAGGGATACCCTTGAGAATCTTGTCATTCACCTATTAGGTCTATTGATGATTGGTGTGTCCAATCAAAATCCATCACCACTTATCATCTTTTAGGCCTATATGTATTCTTGTGAGTCAACAGTATAAGGGTGAATAAATAATTATTACAAGTGGTAATAGGCATATTTCTTGTTTTATAGGTAACTGTTGTATTAAGGCATTTTGAGGCGGGATGTTGTATTAAGTCTGTTCTTTTTGTGACATGATTTATTGGTGTTTGAACATGTTTTGTTGTCAAATGATTTTTGTAAACATGTTTTTGTAAACATTGGTTTAGTTTTGAAATAAGAGTTTGTTGAAACAAGACGTGTGATTAATATTCTTGGATTAGAATTAGAACAGTAACTATATATGACCATATACTAATGGGGCCACATGGTTCTTATAAAAAATCAACTTATTTACAAATTTCACTTACAGTAAAGGCCTAAATAATCTTCATTTGTAGGTTTAACCGACCAGTGTCATCGCTACAGTCTAGGTTGTCTGGTGAGAGCCTCGTCATATTGGTATTTATTTATATAATTTACAATACCAGACGTTCTGCCCATACTGCAATAAGGTATCCTCAGCGGTAGAGCTGACACGGAAAAAAATTGTGATAGAGCTGAGATGTGCTAAAAGTGTCTCAAATCATAAGCAAATATCGAAGGAGATTTTTAAACCCAAGCAATACATTAAGGAAGAAGGAATGTATACAAAAATACTTCAGAAGATAGCCTTATCAGCCAAATACTTCATTAATTGTGGGTTAAACTTCCTGAAACTACGTGAATCCTTCTTCCTTTATGTAATCATAAGCTAGGGAACTCTTTCCTTCAATACCAACTCAAGGAATAGCAACAGTAGAAGCGACTCTACGGTAGAGCTGATCTAGTGGTAGGTCGCCGAACTTTAATACTCGATGTCCCGGGTTCAAATCTTGCCAATCAGCAATTTTATCTCAGTGATAATGCCACAACCCTCTAGCCCTAGCCTGAAGTAATTTGTAAAACAGTCCTGAGATGTGAAGATGGGACCTACCTTGTTACACTCATCCGTCAGTATCTGGTCCTGTGTTGCTATGGCAGCCTCCAGTATAGGCCAGATACTATCTAGACTCATCTTTGCCATCATATACTCCACAGCCTTCTCACATAGGTGAGGTAGCTTGAACTTGACTGAGGCTCTGTACAAGGCTTGTGTCTTCTCTACATTCCACAGGTTCACATAGTCCAGGTAGATGTATCTGTAATGTGTAACTGTCATGGGTTCACATTTATACAGGGTGTTTCTAAATGGAAGATCATATTTTTTATGTTCATTACTTTAACCCTTCCCGGACGGCCTATATGTATAGGCCTACAGACAGCAAAATTATAAAAAAATATATGTCTTTTTTACATCTGTAATTTATAAAATGTTCTAAATAGTTGACATATGCAAAACGTTTGTTCAAAATATTATTTTTTTCTTTATTTTTATTTTTATTCTTCTCTAGAAAAACATTCCTGTACAGCGGTTAAAGATATAATTGATTAAAAGACCGTTTTTACGATGATTAATGTTGTCAAATCAGAGGCAGCCGATACTTCATCATCAACAGCCCCTCAACAACCTTCTGTGTCACTGTGTACCGAAAGTGTTAATGAAAGTGAAACCAGTGCTAGTGTTTTAGAAAATGTAAACTCTCATTTTTTAGGAGATACTCTAATAGGGGATCCTCCACTGCATTAGGCCCTGTCACAAATAATCCCAGATGTAGCTCCAATAAATTTAATTTAAATTTAATTCATGTAAATGTACAATCTTTAAGGAATAAGTTAAGTGAATTGGCTTTAGTATTAGAGGAATCCCATTGCAACATTGCATTATTGAATGAACATTGGCTTCTTAGAGATGAAATTAGGCTGTATATTCCCCAAGGTTATACTCTCGCAGATTCCTTTTGCAGAGAGGGTGATCCCCATGGAGGCTCTTCAATCATTTTAAGTACAAATATTTCATATGATAGGATAGATATTTCACACCTTGTTCACACTGGCTCATTAGAAGCATCACGTACTTACATTAATGATTTCAATGTAACTTTGATATCTCTGTACAGAACCCCCGATTCTGATTGTAATTTATTTTTTAATCAATTAGAGAGCCTTTTAACATTTGTTTTACAAAAAAAACCATCTTGTAAATTAATTTTAGGAGCAGATTTTAATGTTGATTTTTTAAAGAATGATAATCCCACAAAAATGCTTGTCAATGTCTTAAAATCGTTCAATTTATATTACATCTTTAAATACCCAACCAAAGGGAACAAATGTATTGACAATATTGCAACTAACATTGAGCCAAACTTATTTCAGTGTAAAGTTTTGAAAGAACAAATATCTGATCACCCTATTTTACATTTTGCATTTTCAAGTAGTTTGTTTATATGTGCCTGATATAGTCAAAGAAGTTTATTTTAGATTGTTAACAAAAGAAAGGATTAATATGTTTTTGTATAGTTTAAGTGTCATCAATTGGGAGCCGGTTTTTCAGATTGCTGATGTTAATGTTGCTTTTAAATGTTTCATTGACTGTATTCAGAATTGTTACAACTATCACTGTCCTAGACTATCTAAGAGAGTAAGAAGGGACTACAAAGTTAGTTCAAAAAATAACCTGTGGTTTGATGAGTCACTTAAGAAAATGAAGGATACTCTGTTACTCCTCAAGGATTTGACTAAAATACCAGCTTATCAAAACAATGACATCCTAAAAAAATGTCTATCATCTTACAAAAACAAATATAAAACTAGAATTAAAACCGCTAAGATAGAATATAATGAGGAATTTATTAATAGTTCACAAAACAAATGTAAGGCTGCATGGAAAGTTGTTAAGTCAGAAAGTGGTTTATTTTTTAAAAGTGAAAAGTCGGATCCACCAATTACAGCTGACGAATTTAATGACTATTACATTGATGTAGGAAAACAAATTTTAGACAAGTTCTCTAATGGAGGGGGAAGTGGGTTAAATTTTTACAACTTTTTAGATAAGGAAAATGTTTCTAATACCAATTTTTCCTGGAAGCCGGTAACATCAATTGAAATTTTAAAAGTTATAAGATCACTTAGTTCCTCTAACTCTGAAGATTTTTATGGCTTTTCTAACAAAATTGTCAAATATATAGCTCCATACATTCTAGAACCCTTAACTTACTTAGTTAATATTGCCTTATTAAATTCCACATTTCCAAGTTGTCTGAAAATATGCAAAACAGTGCCAATTTTCAAGAAAGGAGATATATCTTCTGTTTCCAATTATCGTCCCATTTCAATGGTTCCAGTTTTTTCAAAAATAATTGAAAATTGTGTTAAAATACAGCTTTTTGATTTTTTATCAAATAACAAAATTCTGAATAGCAATCAATTTGGCTTTCGACCCGGATACTCCACAACTTTAGCCGTTGAATCCATAGTGTCAGATATTCTGGATACATTTGAATCTGGCAACTATCTGAGTCTGGCCTTTGTGGATCTCAGCAGGGCCTTTGACTCAGTTCTGCACACCATACTTTTGCAGAAATTGGATTTTTATGGTATAAAACACCAGGAACTAATTTTTTTTTAAACCTACCTTTGTGGCAGACAACAATATGTAGCTTCCGGTAAACAAACATCAGCTTTTAAAGAGGTTCTTGCTGGGGTGCCACAGGGGTCAGTACTTGGGCCAGTATTGTTTATATTATATATTAATGATTTGCCAAATGCTATGCCTTGTAAAACAGTTCTATATGCAGACGACACATCGTTTATTTGGCCTTCTGACAATCTTAACACAGCAATCCGTGGAATTGATAACATGATCGATATTGGTAATAATTGGTTTAAGAGTAATTTTCTTGAAATTAATAGTGATAAGACAGAGAAAATATGTTTTACACTACGTAGAAACCAAATTGAAAATCCAGATTTTGTTAAATTGCTAGGTATTTTCTTAGATAAAAAATTAACATGGGAAGAACATACCAACAATGTAATATCTAAGTTGTCACGAGTTTGTTTTTTATTGCAAAAACTAAAAAACTGTGTATCTAATCACACACTTCTTTCTGTTTACCATAGTTTATTTCATACACACTTATTATATGGAAATATTCTCTGGGGAAATAGCTGTGGGGCCAGCAGGGTGTTTACTTGGCAAAGAAAAGCCCTGAGGATCATGTTTGATATACCAAATAAAGTCAACTGCAAACCTTTCTTTATAAATAATAATATAATGACAATTCCAAGTATTTATATTTTTAATAATTTAGTCTATGTTAAACAAAACATTACAAATTTTACTAAATGTCACTCAATACATAACCACTCAACTAGACAATCAAACAACCTGTACATCCCACCAGTTAGACTTTCAAAATTCACAAAAAGCCATAAATATTTACAATTACAACTTTTCAATAAACTGCCCATTCCATTTAGAGAAATTGATAACATAAACCTTTTCAAATCAACATTATCAAGATGGCTAATTAGCAAAGCCTTTTTTTCTATAGACGATTTTTTAAACACAAATAATTACTCTGACCTCTTAACACTATTGGCCACTAGGAGGCAGCCTGCATGACCAAAAATCTTTTTGCAAATTTTCTGAATATTTACAAAATTGTTTAGTTTTGAAGCATTATTTACTTAAGTTTTTTATAAATTTGTGTTAGAGCATTCAATCTTAGAATTTTAAATTTAAATATTAGGCCTGTATGTACAGTTTATGCAACAAAATGTTCAATGCTTCTTAAGGTGATATAGATTTAAGCATGATGTCATATTTGTGTCCTGATTTCTGACGTTGTCTATTGTAATTTTATGTTGCTGAATGACAATAAAGATTATTATTATTATTAAATATAATAAACTATAACAATAGATGTTGTAATAATCGGCAGATGTATACGCCTACCGTCCACGGAGCCAAAATAGGCTGCAATAAAAATAAACAAAATTTGTAAGAAAATAATAAGAGGCAATCAGCTGATATGAACATTATCCTTAATCAATCTGTACACAATAAACGAATAGTGTCAATACAATACACTACGTATAAATCTATCAGTTCATCAATAAATGTATCTATACCGGTATATATCAAATCCAATTTATGTTTGTCGTTTGTTTGTTCATTACGAGTTACCAAACCGGCTAACCGATTGTGATGAAACTTTAGAAACTGATGAGAAATGTGATAGATGCGACAATTTTAAATGGAAATTTGAGGGAAAAGTTCTCTTGCCACATATTTTAACGATGTACCTACTGATATGCCCTTTGAATTCAAATGAATTTTACATAGTCTCGAATATTCAATGACTCACTTTCTACTCTTGTTATGAAATATACTATTGAGTTTTGAGCAATTAATATAGGAATCTAAACTTTTACCTTATCGGTATGACAAGTCCCGCTCTAATTAATGATCTGAGCGTGACACAATGTTTAGGCCTATTGCAATTAAAAAATCATAGCAACAAGTTTCAATACATTTTAACACTAATACTGAAACCCCGGTCTGACAGGCCCAAGGGAATTTTCACAAACCCATGTTGGCAACGCTGTTTACTTGGGAGATTCCATTCCCCTAATACCTTCCCCCCTTTTCCTTTCCTGCCTATTAATATATTGTTTGTTCATTTAGCATGGGTGCCGTGAGCTTGACAGGTTGTCTGTTTATAACATTTCCGTATCAGAAGCCCAGCGTTAGTGTATTTTAAAGCGGGGTCTCACAGGCCAAGGTTTTCGGTTTGTGTGTTTCTAAGCGGGGTCCATTATTTTTCAAATAGGGTCTCACAGACCGGGGGTTTCGGTTAACGTCAGCCTAGGTAGGGTTCCGGTATTAGTGTTAAATAGTTATGACTTGAGCAGGCTAAAATATTAAAATTGATAATACTTTTAATCTTTTACATTTGAGATTGAGTGACTTACTCTAAAATTTGCCTGAATACGTCTGGCTCTACATCTGGTAGACTGATGTTTAGAGATTCACTGAGGAGGTCTTCAAACTCTGGACTGGACATTGCAAGGATAACTGAGTGCAGTTTAAAATCCTGAAACAAATTTGGTTGAATATCTGAACAAAATTTCATTTTATGGTAAGAAATGTGAATTTGTATGAAATTGAAATCCAGAGTAAGGGACAGCAGTGGACCCAAAACTGATGGGATCGGCCAACATTTCACACTAATTAGCCAAACTTTTCTTACTTCAGTTGACATTGCACACATTTTTCTTTGTTTGGGAAGGAAGAAAATTATATTTTTAATAGTAGTTAAGATAAATTATTACGTATTAGTATTTCATAGCCCTTATAACCCCCAAAAAATAGTACAATCCCCATTGCTGTAAAAATTATAGTAAAAAAGTTATTGCAGCTTATGTGATTTCTCCATAAAATAACAGAAGAAAAAAGATAAAAAAACCGTTTGACCGATTTCTATTCAAATTTAGTAAGTTTTACTGTTTACTCTAAACAAAAGGGTGCAGCCCTTATTGATGTAAAAATTACAATGAAAAGTTTACTATTTGCAACTTTTGTGATTATTTTTTCATAAAATATCATAGTTACTCCCACCGCTTGTCCATGATAAAGGTTTATACAAGCTAATGGGAGAAAGTACGTTTCAGATTGATGATACCGTTTACTTAAAAGTCTTTCCATGAGCAATTCGGGTAGTTGGCGTTTGGATAATTAGCCTACTTATATTGTACTGTAACTGCTTATTTAAACTTTTACTATTAGGCCTATGTATTGTGGCACTCACCTGTTGAGCCTCAGGTTTGCCAACCTGCACCACACAGTCACTCAGTTTGGACGTAGTCAGAAGATAGTTCAATCTCTGTCTGGTAGTGGTCGGAGCCAACTGCCATCTCTGAGGCAAGGTCTTCTCACCTATTACACAAAAACAGTTGAAAAATTAACAAGAACTTTCAAATTCTTATTAAACGACAAAGTTTGTGGCTGCAGAGAGTGCAAGGAATTTACAATATGCTTGGTTTACATTATGTTGCTCTCAAAAGGTTACTGCAAGCCCTGGCGTTTAAACTGATGCTAATTAAAGTAATTTGAAATGCAATTATTTCATCATTATTACTTAAGACAGAGACGTATTTTGTCATATCTTTTAGTCTATCTTGACTTCATATGATTTAGTTAATAATTCAAATAAGGTCAAGACAGATGATAATTGTTTTTCAATGTTTACATTTTACTTTATTATAGTTAATCATAACAATTTTCAATAAAAGAGTTTCTTCAAATGTGTGCTTATTATGAACTCTAATTCAAAGTCACAACAATTATTTGGCGACGAAGGAAAAACAGAATTATTACATGTAAGATTACTAAATTTTTCAGAATTTGTGTTCAAATTATTTTGTATTCAAAATGAATGCAGATCAGTTCAATCAATTCCTTACTATCTTTCAAGAACAACAAAGACAACAGCAAGAAAACCAGAACAAGTTTATTAAAGAAGTATTAGAAACTGTCTTAAAACAGAATGATCAACAGACTGAGATACCTCGGGTCAACTACTCAAATGTGGCTCCTTTTGAAAACTATGATCCAAAGAAAGAAAAATTTACATGTTACCTAGAACGTTTTGAAAACTATTACACCATGAAAGGCCTAACAGACTCAACTAAGATTGGACAGCTACTGTGCATCTCTATCGGCAGTGATCATTATAACAATCTTAATTCTTTTCTAGGCCCCGAGAAACAATTGAAAAGTCTCAACTATGATGAGCTTATCACAGCATTCAAGCAGTTATTGATTCCTAAGAAGAACGTTGTAGTATCTCAACACTATTTTCTAAATGTATTTCAAAAAGAACACCAATCAATAACAGAATTCGTGGCTTCCCTACAACGTGATATTGCTGAGTGTGAATTTTCTGTCAAGTGTTCATGTGACCAGACAGTTTCAATTGCCGAAGTTTTCCTGAGAGCCCAGTTTATTCGAGGTTTGCGAGATGACTGGCTACGAGAACAAATTCTACAGTCAACTGAAACTACTTTTGAAGGAATCCTTACCAGAGCAATCGCCCTCGAAGCATCAAAAATTGAATCCAGGGAATTGTCTAAACGTTCACATTCAAGTAATGCAAATTTCAATATATGTGACGATGTGAATAAAGTTTCACATAAAGCAAGGAAATCTCAATTCCAAACCGGTAATCGACCTTCCAGACAGCAACAGGGTCACTCCTCACGCTCTCGAAAACGTCCAGATCTGAAATCTCTTGGAATTGGTAATCTTTGCTTCAGGTGTGGAAAAGACAATCACCAAGCATCCGAGTGCCGCACCGACAAATCTAAGCTCAAGTGCAACAAATGTAACAAGCAAGGACACATATCTAAAGTGTGCATTTCGACCCTTATCGCAGAACAGAAGAAAATCAATTCTCCCAGTGTAGCCAACTACATCCAGTGCTGTTCTCCTACAGAGTCTACATCGAAATTTTCTGATTACGGACTAAATAAAGTAACTAATGTCAATTCAAGCCCAAAGTTACTAGATCTGTTTGAAGTAAATAACGATTCAGACAAATACATGATCACAGTTAATCTCAATGGTAAACCACAACAATTCGAAGTAGACACAGGAGCAAAATTCTCACTTCTAGCTAAAAATGATTTCGACAAACTCAAATTGGACATTCCATTGGAAACAACTAACATTGCTTTCAGAACTTACTCAGGTAATATTATCAAACCTGAAGGGAAAGTGAAAATAAATGTTACTTACTGTGGACGTTGCGTCAAAGAGGAACTCCACCTACCATTTCAAAAATATATGAGAAAGCAGTTTACATACAACTGACGAACTATCTGGAAACGTATTCTTTACATGATAATAATCAGCATGGCTTCAGATCAGGAAGATCAGTTACAACTGCAGCAATAGATTTTATAGAATCAGTAATAAACTCTCTTGACAAAGGTGAAACAACAGTTGGCATATTTTTAGACTTAAGTAAGGCTTTTGACAGTGTGTCACATACAATTCTTTTAGATAAAATCAGAAGTTTGGGCATTGATGGCATTTCGTTTGAATGGTTTAGATCATATATTTCTAACAGATATCAATACGTTGAAATTAAAAATTTGACAAATAACAGGTTAATCTCAAGATCTTCTCCTCTTACAGAGATTCACCATGGGGTACCCCAAGGGTCTATTTTGGGACCGATCTTATTTCTCATTTATATTAGGGATCTGTCAATTCCATTTTCAACTAGTTTACACAGTAGTAATATCTGCCTGTATGCTGATGATGTTACTTTTAAAATCAGCAATTCATCTTTATCAAATTTAGAAAATCATTGTTCTGATACTTTAAATATGCTAAATACTTTTTTAAATTCTCATCAGCTCTTGTTAAATTTAAGCAAAAGTAATTTTATGGTTTTTACAACAGGAAAAAGAAAACAAATTGTACAGCCTGTAATTCAATTTCAAAATAATAAATTGGAAGAAATCACCACAACAAGGTTTTTAGGATTAATTGTAGACAAAAATCTTACATGGAATAAGCATGTTGACCAGGTAGTCAACAAAATTACTTCTGGTATCCATGCTATTAATAGAATGTCAAAATTTTGCTCAATAGAAACCTTAAAGATTCTTTATTTTGCTTTTATCGATTCATCAATATCTTTTGGCATAAGTATTTATGGCTGTACCTCTAAGCAAAACCTGGATAGAATTCTTACTCTTCAAAAAAGTGCAATCAGAATTATGTTAAATTTAGAATGGGATACTTCCGCTCGTCAATATTTTTCAAAATTGGGAATAATGACTGTGTATAGTATTTATGTTTTTCATACAATTTTACACACAAAAAAACTTTCTAATGCTAATTTGGTCCCTAAACTTGGTGATTATCATAATTATTTTACCCGGAACAGAAACGAAATTGCTGTCAGTGTCCATAACTTGGAGCTCTTTAACAAAAAAACCACCTGTGCAGGGAAAAGGTTTTTGGACAAACTCCCAGCTGAGGTGAGGAATATTGATAATATTTCCAAATTTAAAAAAAAACTTAAACATTTCTTAACTGATAAAACACTTTATGGTTTCAATGAATTGTAGATTAGTTTTATTTAGTTTTAAGCCTAGTGACGCCATTCAATGTATGCGACTGTATACCATATGAATAAAGATATTTTTTCATTTCATTTCATTTCATTCATTGTTCCAACAGGACACGAAGCACTCTTGGGACGTCAATGGATAAGAGCCCTAGGAATCGAACTGAACAAATTGAATGAAGACACAAATCAAAGCACTCAAATTTCCCAAATCAAAAGAATCCAGTCTCCTGAAGAAATTTTTCAGTCTTTTTCCAACATTTTTGAAGAGAAAATTGGATGCGTTCCAGACTTCAAAGTGTCATTACAGCTTCGAAATGGTGCAAAACCTATTTTTGTTAAGGAACGAAATGTCCCACATGCTTTAACCGACCGAGTGAACAAGGAATTGGACACACTGGAAAATGAAGGGATCATTTCACCCGTGGAGGCCAGCGATTGGGGATCGCCACTGGTTGTCATTCCTAAACCAGACGGTGGTGTCCGCCTCTGCGTCGATTACAAATGCGGTGTCAACGAGCGTCTAATTCAAGCAAATCATCCTATAAGGCGTATTGATGATGTTATTGACAGTTTGCGCAATTCAAAATACTTTTGCAAACTTGACCTCTACAAAGCCTATTTACATCTCCAGGTGGATGAAGAATCTAGCATGATACAGACAATGACGACTCACAGAGGTACTTATAGAGTACATAGACTCAGTTTTGGCATCAAAACTGCACCATCAGAATTCAACCGCATACTCTCTCAGATCTTAAAGGGGTTACGTAAGACAGAAGCATATTTTGATGACATTATTGTGCATGGTTCGACCATTGAAGAATGCAGTGAAAATTTACAAGCCTGTCTACAGAGACTCTCTGATTACAATTTACATGTCAACAGAAACAAATGCTCATTTTTTCAAGAAAAAATTGAGTATTTAGGACGAGTCGTAGAGTTCAACAAAATTAGTAAATCTCCAACGAAAATTCAAGCAGTCCAACAGATGCCTCGCCCGTCCAATACTGAAGAGGTCAAACGTCTACTCGGACTTGTGTCGTACTACTCACGTTTCATCCCTGATGCTTCAACTATCACATATCCTCTGCGACGTCTGTTACAGAAAAATATGAAATGGGAATGGAATTCATCCTGTGAAGCAGCATTTTTACAAATCAAATCAGAGCTCTGCAGTGATCGAGTTCTCGTACCTTTCGATCCGGCTCTCCCTCTAGTACTAACTACAGACGCCAGCCCTACAGGACTTGCAGCCGTGCTTAGTCATGTCACAGAAGGAGAAGAAAAGCCCATTGCATATGCTTCTCGTTCTCTTACAGTTTCTGAAAGAAATTACAGTCAATTAGACCGTGAAAGCCTCGCTATTATTTTTGGCGTGTCACATTTCTACTATTACCTTTTTGGGACTCACTTCACACTAGTAACTGACAATGCACCAATTTCACGGATTTTTCAGCACAACAAAGCACTCCCTCAAATGACATCAGGACGTTTACTCCGATATGCATCTTACTTATCCGGGTTCAACTACACATTAAAATTCAAACCTGGCAAGGAAAATGAAAATGTTGACTGCCTCTCAAGAGCTCCACTTCAGCAAGTAAATTCGACTGTTGATGAAATCATTGCCAATGAAGTCAACCAAGTATACGAACAAATGATTTTCGAGATGTCAGATGAACACATAACCGCTTCAACAATAAGGAGTGAAACAGAAAAGGATCCAGACTTATCAAGAATTGTAAAAAATCTAAAAAACAAGTCTGATGAAACAGAATATACATTGGTTGACGGGATTTTATTTCGCCAAGATCGTGTAATTATTCCAAGAAGCTTACGACCATCAATCTTAAATGAACTTCATTATACCCACCTAGGTACAACAAAAATGAAACAGCTGGCCCGCCGCTACGTCTACTGGCCCAGTATCGACAAAGAAATAGAACGTATTGTCAAAGGATGTGAAAAATGTGCTCTCACACGTCACAGCCCTCCCAAAGTTCCAGTACATCCCTGGGATACACCACAAGAGAATTGGGAAAGGGTTCATATCGACTATGCAGGACCGCTTGATAATACATATTTTCTCATGTGTGTTGATGCAAAATCTAAATGGGCGGAGGTGAAAATCATCAAAGACTCACCTACTAGTGCGAACACAATTAATCTTTTAGAAGGAATTTTCTCATGTCATGGATATCCTCAGGTACTCGTTTCAGATAATGCTACCATTTTCAAAAGTGATATTTTTCAAAATTACTGCAAAACAAATGGTATTTTCCAGAAATTCATCGCTCCAGGGCATCCGGCAACAAACGGTTTAGCCGAGAGATCAATCCAAACTCTAAAGAATCGCCTGAAAGCAGTCTCAACTGACCAAACTCCAATCCAAACCAAAATTCAAAATATTTTACAAAGGTACAGAGCAACACCGCTAGCTTGTGGTCAGTCCCCGGCGGAACTCTACCTGCACAGAAAAATAAGGATAAGACTAAATGCCATTTTCCCGTACAAACCTCAACCTTCAACTACACAGTCTTCACCTGCACGTTCACTATATGTGGGAGAGAGGGTACAGGTCAAACTTTTCATCAATAATAAAAACATATGGCAGTTTGGTCAAGTAAAGAAGAGGCTTGGGAAAAGACACTATCTCGTAGTTCTCGACTCATCTGATAGAATCCTGAAGAGGCACATCAATCAACTACGCCCAACGCTGGTACAGAGTCCAAAAACGAAAAATGTTACATTCGGACCAACGCAGTTGTTTGATGTTCCCAGAATTCCAAGACGACCAGAAATACATAGGAATCCAGATCCAGTTGCAGCTCCAAAACCAAGGCAACCAGAAGAACAATCTCCAGCAGAAAGAGCTCAAGCTGAGAATGTCATACCACATCGTGAGCAAGCTGATAATACCAACGCCAGACCACAGCGTAAGCGTCACATGCCCTCAAGATTTAGAGACTACCAGATTTGATTGAAAACGATTGTTCTTAATTAGTGGGGAAGACTGTCATATCTTTTAGTCTATCTTGACTTCATATGATTTAGTTAATAATTCAAATAAGGTCAAGACAGATGATAATTGTTTTTCAATGTTTACATTTTACTTTATTATAGTTAATCATAACAATTTTCAATAAAAGAGTTTCTTCAAATGTGTGCTTATTATGAACTCTAATTCAAAGTCACAACATATTTTAACCCAAATATGAGTGAAGGGTGAGTGTAGAATAGAGATAGGTGATCGGTGTAGCTGACTAAGATCAGCTGCTTCGTAAGCCAGTATCATTTGTGTAAAGTCCAATGGTCAGGGACGGGTGGATTCAGGTTGAAACCACCAAATAGCTACTAAATTTTCTCAGGATTCATCTAGCAATCTTTTGAGTGTTTGACTTGCACTATAACCACTTAGCTATTCAGCCAGTTCATTAGCATTTTTAACTAATTTTTACTTACCTGATTTTTCTTCTTCCTTAACTTCAACACAGTCTTCTTCATTTGTTGTATTATCTGAAATAAAACACATTTACAATGTAAATATTTAGGCTTTCATTGCAGGCTTTTTGTGTCATAGTTTTAAACCCTTCCTCTGAAATATTAAATCCCTTTACAAAGCCGAAATGAAAAAGCCAATATACTTGCTTGAAGTTTTTTTATGCCTTGACAATGACAATAACTACATATTCTCAAATCACCATGTAGCAAATTTGTTAGAGTTGCATTTAAATATTGGTTTTAATAATGTATTTGACATCTTAATGTAATATATCCAATAGTGTCTATCCAAGATGAAGACTAAAACATCAAAGTAAGTGAAGAGATTAAGCTGGCTCTTTTCTGATTAAGAGGTGATCCACTGTATCCATTCAGCTACTCCGCGATCCAGTTAGTTAGGGGAGAGAGCTGCTCTAGTGGTTAGAGCACAGAATGTTAACTTACCAAGGTCCTGGGTTCATATCCCGCCAATCACCAATGGATTTTATCTAAGTGGCCCCACAACGTCTAGGAGGCCTAGACTGAAATAATATGAAAAATGATCCCAGGCTAGAGCCTAGAATGTTGGGATATGAAGGTGGGACAAAAGAAAAAAATCTATATATGTATAAATAAACCCCAGTTGGTATACATACCTGGGACAGTGGTCGATGTTGTGTTTTCAGAACTGGTAGGCTTGGCTTGGTCTTCAGAAATTCCTTCAGAAATTCCTTCATTGGTTGGTGCTGTATCAGTCTTTGTCTTTTCTAAACACAGTCAATCCCAAATATAAAAAAGAAATATTTTCATAGACCTGACTGAGATAAAAGTATTGTCAGACAAATATGTAAAGAAATTAACTTATTGAGTACAGTGTTCTAAGAAAATTACTTTTACATGAACACTAACTATTGAACTAAACTTTTACAATATAAAATGGAATATTGAGAGTCAAATATACCAAGTCATTTATATCAATACTAGGCCAACTGAATGGAATAAATCTTAAAGAGAAGTTTGTTTGAATGGTTGCAAATACATTCCCAACACATGTTAAAATGTAATTGCAAATTACAATCAATTTAGTTAGGTGTAGACATTTGTTAGGAATAGTTATTTGTGTAACTAGTGGGCGAAGTGGCACTTTGCTGCACACAAGAGAAATGTTTACGCATAAGCCATAGGCGAGTGTGGAAAGTTTCTCGAGTGTAGCAAAGGCAATCTTTACTCGTGTTATAGATTATATTCTTCCTACAATCATTATAAGGCATAGAAATAATTAGTCTTTCAAACACTAAACAACACGTTTTAGGTTAGGATAAATTCAAGCGTTGAACGAAATGGGAAACACTGCAACAGCTTATTGTAGTCGTATTATCTTTAAGTGTTGCCAACCTATTTCCAAGCGTACACAGATTACGTGCATAATAAAAGCACGCTGTTTTGTGTTGTTTGGTTAGAATACTGGAATGCGGCAAAAGTAAGTAAATGCAGCAATTAGAAACCGTCTGTAATCAGTGCTGGAAGCCCGCTTTGTCAGGTAGGAAAATAAGTTTTAAGATCTGTAATATTGTGTCACATAGACCTTAAATATGTCCATGTTAAAGAAGATTTTAACATGTATGTAATAAATTTGCATTTGGCAAAAAATAGTTAATTAAATACAGTAGACTCCCTCTTATCCGGACACCTTTTAACCGGACATCGGTTTAACCGGACTACACACGGCGGAAATGACAACTCTTTAACCGGACAATTTGTATCAGCACATTGGTTCAACCGGACTAGATCGGCAGGAAGTGGGCAGTACTGAAACAACTGTTCTCGTGGGAAAGATTTGAGACCATCAGTAATCACGTGTCTAAATACAATGCTCTCGTAAATTTAAGTCGAATATCACAGTAAACAGTCCGTTTTAACGAGTTTTGGGGACGTCGGCTTAACCGGAAAACCCGTTATCCGGACTGGCCTCGGTCCCGAGGAGTCCAGATAAGAGGGAGTCTACTGTACTGTACTAATAGAATAAAAATTTAAATTGAGATTTTATTTAACTACTGACAAAAATATATTTTAAAATGTAGATTGAAACATACCTTCCTCATCATTTGAGCTTGGTTTGGAGTCGACATTTTCTCCTCCTCCATCCAACACATCTATAAAGATCAAAATAAGGTCAAAATCTGTTACGTGCTCACAACTCCAAAACTTGTTAATACATTGTTTTTCAATGACAGAGTACTTTTTTAGTAGAGTGGAATCATTTCCAGGTATTTACGATGGCATTGTTGTCGATCTTATCTCATCTGTCTGGGAGAGAACAGTTCGCTTTAGCGTCGCCAGCAGCGGCCCGAGGTAATGAATCACTGTCTTTGTATTACTTAATCATGCCACAGTGCTCTGTGTTTGTAAGATAGATTTGCCCTGCAATATATTTAAACTGTACGAACTGTGTAAGTGTAATTTTAGGTGTGTTTCTTTGTTTCAAAACGCTAATATTGCAATAAAAGAAAAACAATGCGATAACGGACATGAAATGACACTTAGTGTAACTGACAGTCGTGAAAGGTGGCGTTGTGGAAAAAAATGTGTGCCGACAAGATGTTCAACTACGATGTAACACTTGGTTTGAAAATTCATGGTTGGGTTTTGAGCCACAAACTCACTACCTACTCAAGATTTTTTCGAACGCGAACTGGGCATCAACCACAACACTGTGGTCGATTGGAACAACTATTTGCGAGAGGTAAGTGCAGCAAAGTTATTAGCCAATCCCATTGTAATAGGAGGTCCCGGTCTAACAGTAGAAATAGACAAATCAGTATTTGCTAAGCGTAAATAAAATGTTGGTAGGGTTCCCAAACAACAGTGGGTCTTTGGCGACATTTGCCGCAAAACAAAGGAATGTTTCCTGTACGCTGTGGAGAACATATCAGCTGCTTCACTAATGCCGATCATAATAGACAGCATTGCTCCTGGGACACTTGTCGTGTCCAATCAATGGCGATCATACAATGGAATTAGAAATGCAAACAAAAATTACAACCACTAAACTATCAACCACAGCGAGAACTTCATAGATCTGGACAGTGGTGCACATAGCAACACAGTTAAGAGAATGTGGGGCGTAGCTAAGTCCAGTTAGTTTTAGTCGTCGTTTCAGAAACCATCGAAAATGGTAGACAGCTATTTATGTGAGTTCATGTGGCTGAAACGGCTTCCTCAAGAAGGTAATGTTTTTGAAAAAATACTCAGACATTGCGGCTTTTTGTCCACTTCAATAGGTATTATTACATGAGTTTCAACTATGTGTGATTTTTCCTTTAATTTATATTGTGTGTAATTAAAGCCCTACTCTGAAGTGTGTCTTCTTTATTATTTAACACCTACAATTCTGAACTCTTCTTAACTTCCTAACAATTCGTTATTCAAGTGTTTATTGGGAAAATATAGTGGTGGGCTTGTAACGGATTTTGACCCAAAATAATTACTAGACAATAAATAGAGCAATAAATAGATCTTACTGTGAATAATATTTCAAACAAGATATTTGGGGTACCTAGTATGTATCACAATTTTAATCAAAAAAATCTATTTAGTTTTAATCTTTTTTGAATATACACCGGGGATTGAACGTATATTATCTTTAAAACCAAAGTCTGCTAAAATGTAAGTTTAAAATAAAATAAAATGACATATTCTTAAGATGAGTAAGCTAGGCCAAAACTTGTTGAACGTAAAAAGAAATGTTAGTTTTATTTAGTTTATTTAACGACTACCGATACGGCTTTTTGTGGTTGAGGACTTTACTACTATTGATTCACATGTGCGAAACTCTGCATAATAACTTAACTAGTCAAGATACTAAACACGACATATCAAATTTACAATACTTACTTTTCAATTGGTTAGATGATGAACTAGATTGGTCTTCTGAAATCTCTTCTTCCCTGAAACAATATTGTTGGTAATTTACTTGTTTACAAAAAAGATGAAGACAATAATTAAATAAATGAAAAACATACCTACTATCATCTTCCAAATTATACCAACATATTCCGACTCAATGTAGGTTACATTTACACTGATAAGAATGTGATAAGATGTCATGATAAATCTAATGTTTGTAACAAAACTAGATGAGACTTTCTGGTTTTACTTAATACCGGTATTGAGTTGGGCAAAAATATTTCCAATTAATGGTATTTTTTTTTAAATAAATTGCTCACTTTTTATAGTAGGATCGAATACAAAGGGTTATTCAACGACTAGTTAAAATGGACAGGAAAGATGGTTATTATATCAATCACTCGTTAGTTGTAGTGAAAACACAGTCTCAAGTTTTGTTGGGATACAAAAAAAGAGGGAGAGGTGCTGGGAAGTGGAACTGCTTTGGGGGGAAGATAGAAAAACATGAGGGAATCAAAGCTGCTGCCATTAGGTAAGCTATTTTTCTTTTTTCAATAGGCTTATTATTTAAGAAATGTATTTAGGTGTATTATGTACCTAGCTGGCATCAAAACGTATAAACCAATAACCAGGAACTTAATTTTACAGGGAGTTAAAAGAAGAAAGTGGATTGACGTGTACAGAAAATGATCTACATAGTATTGCAACCCTTGATTTTTCTTGGCTTGAAAAGAAGGAAATGCATCTAGATTATGTCTTCCTTTGCGAAAACTATACTGGTGATATTGTAGAAACCGAAGGTAACTTACTGAATGTTATTTATTGACATAGGCCTATGAAGAAAGATATTGTGTTTATTGAGAACATTTTAAATATACCTATAAACAATTTGGTATAAATTTCACACATCAAGTATAATCTTCTGAACTATTTGGATTAAAATAAATTTTAAAACATATTATATTTTGCTTGTTTTCTGAATTATTAATCTATTCAACAAAACAATATGACCTTTTCACTGGTCCACTGCTGTTAATTAGCTTTAGTATTGTCTGCCTCTGCTTTAGGAATCGTCCATTCTCACTATTCGACAGCTATTCATTAAACGCCTATTAATAAACATCTTTAAAAATCATACTAATTATTTCAAAGAATTACTCACCATTACTCCTCACGAGTAGGCATTTTTAACTTCAGATAAATTATACTTTCTCTAAAACTAACACTTTCTTTTCTAATATACTCTATCGAAATAATATGTAGGCTACTCATTTTAGTAATGATAAGCTTTTTGAATCACCTTCTCTTAATGTTTTCAAATTAAGAGTAAAAGAATTTATCTTCAGGATTGGTATGAATGCGGCCGACGTTATTATGAATATTGCAGCTGACTACTGGCACGTTTGACCCCCACCCAGTCCCCTCCATCCTGAGCCAGCAGGAATATTTTAGTCCCCACCTGATTAAAATTTTTTTTGGTTTATTATATATTAGTATTTTATTTTCTAATATTTTCCCTAAACTAATATTTTATGCAACAGTTTATTTTAACTTTGAAATAAGTCAATTATGATTTTGGTTTACTTAATTTTTAATAGCAACCCAGCAGACGCACAGGCAGCAATTGCCTATGTCTGCTGATTTTCTAAAAATAAATCAAATAAGGTAATACGGAGAGGTTCTGTTTTATTTTAGTTGTAGTTTATATTTTGTAATTTTTCATGTATTAAAAGTATGTATTTTATTCATGTTGTAGATTATACAGTGGAAAATAAACATTTTATTATTTAATTCATCAATTCATTAACTACCAGTTTGTTTGCGTAAAACGAGATGCAAAATCATAAATTTTATTGGTCTAAAATAAGCTTTAAAAGCATAGAACAATAGGTACTGTACTTAGTTTATGATTATTTTGGAGGCAAGAACTGTCCAATCTGTTCAAGGATCTAATTGAAAACCTAGATTTTTGGTTTTAAATCAAATTGTTTGGAGACAAGTTCGCCTTTAGTAATGGTGTTGAACAAAAATTAAGTATTAAGTCAAGTTTAAATATGAAAAAGAATACAGTATTGTGGCCTACTATCATATGAAAATAATTTGGAAAAGGTGGAGAATACTATTTTCTCTAATCCTCAATAATTATCAAATGTTTGGATTGTAAATAAAAAGTATGGTAAGGTTAAATACACAGTGGAGCAGAACAGGTAGCTGGTTGCCTAGCAGGCTGCTTACTCTCTTACTGTGATGTAGAATTAAAACACGCGTTGTTATGGGTACGTACACAGTCGCGCCTAGCAGGTAGTCGGCGCAGTAGCAGTAAGCTACGCTGCAAGCGGCCAGAATTGCCAAGTTGATTGTTTGCTGTAAGCGGGAATGGCTCGAATGGGGCATGCGCAACTATCAAATGATATGCTTGGTATGATATGATATGATTGATATGGTATGCTTGGTTTGAACCAAGTTTTTGATGTTCCACTCAGCACTTTTTACTACGTATTCTTTATGTACGGGGTTTTGTTTGTGTTGGTTAATTAGTTTAGTTGTTGTACTGTGAACATGAATAATGGATGTTGAAAAAATGTAGCAGAGGTTTTCATTTGTGTGCTTTTGTGGTGCCAAACCTATTTGGACCACCATATTCGTCCCATTCACAACAATTTTTAAAATGAAAAAGCAAATGAATTAAGAATTAAACGCATGTTTAGATTAATACTGTGCACATAAAATTTGATCACAGATTTTTTGGCAAATTTCCCCGAATATTGAAGAAATTATCACGGTGCCGTAGACAACATGGAAACACCAATACTTAAACCCGGTACTTTTTGTTTAGACTTGAGGTTCCCAAATGTAAAAATCACCATTAATTATTCAAAAAAATATAATCTGCAGGTGGTTCCTAGAGCAGCAAACTAGCACTCAAGGTGTGCTTCTTTAGATCTGCAGACCTTCGAAGAGAGACCAATCTTTTTGCATAAGTTACATATTGAATTTTTTGCTGGACATGTGCTTCTTGGATAGGACGGTTTATAATACAATAGATACATTGCGCTGGGTATTCTTGCTTCTTTTGAAGAAACTTATAGGCTATCCTTGATTTTGATTTAAACTCGATGATGTATTTGCTTCAATTTGAACTCTTTTCTCGACACATAAAATCTGTATTCTCTCTCTTTATCTGTATGTCGTATTACTGTAATGGCCTTGTCTATATTAATTATATCTAAGCGTTAACTATTAAATCATTACCTTAGTATCAAACATATTTTGTTTCAGAAATGCGCCCTCAGTGGTTTGATTTGGAAAAAATCCCTTACACAAAGATGTGGGCCAGCGACCGAATATGGTTACCTCTAGTACTTGAGAAGAAGCTGTTCACTGGATATTTTGTGTATGACTACAAAGGAGAAATATTAGAAAGTAAAATAAGTGAGGGGTCTACAGACCCGATAAATAGGCCTAAGTAGTAAAGTAAATCTTATTACAACAGTGTTAAAAGATTTGTTTTCATTGGCGTCTGATTAAAAAGTATCCGACCTTGTTCAGGTAAAGCATAGGTAATTTATTGATCAATGTATTTTAAAATCTGATCTCCTCTCAAAATAGTCCCCTTGGGACTTCACACACTTAATCCAACGATCCTGCCACTTTTGGAAACAAGCCTGGAACTCTAAGGTAGGGAACAGCCAGAAGTCACAGGTTGCCATATCCGGTGAGTACCACAGCTCCTGTGCTGGCATAGCACAGGAATGCCAAGTTTTGGTAAAAAAAAAATGGAAGAATGCACTGGAGCATTGTCCTGATGAAGCCACCAAGAATTTGTGGCCAACAAATCGGGATGCTTGCGACGCACTGCATTGCGCATGTGGCGTAGAACATCTAAGTAGTACTCTTTAGCAATGTTTTGTCCCTCAGGTGCATACTCATGATAAACTTCTCAATTACAGTGAAAAAAAAATAGTCAATAACTTTGATTTTGCTTCGAAATTGGCTTGCTTTTTTTTGCCGCGGCGGTATTGAGAGTTTCCACTGAGAAGACTGCACTTTTTTTTGTGGGGGTTGGGATAATTTCCCCCTTCCTGTTGACCTATTGTAGCAACCCTTAACTCAGTCTGACAGTCCTAGGCTTTTAGCATAGCCTAGGAGCTGTGAGAGGCCAAATTTCCTCATCCCTATAGGTTCCGTTCTAGAGATTTCCACCCATTTTTGGGACACCTCCGGACAGTCCAACCATAAGTGTTCAGAGGTTTCCTCCTCGTTTTTGCAGAACCTACATTGGTCTCTCTGTGACCTCCCTATGCTTCTAAGATGTTTTGGTACTTTGGTATTATCCGAAGGCCACCCTTAGGCCTATACAGCGCACTGCGGCGGTTATGTTAGTTTGGGTTATCATAAATATATGTTTGTAGGACTTTTCTCGTTTCATTATGAATCAAACACTTCCATATTAGTCATCCTTAAGCTCGCCAAATCCCCTCCAAGTAGGCCAAGGTTAGGTTTTGACTGGAGCGCGTGCATCACCTGTCACTGGTGTGGCAGTAGAGGCGGCGACGCATTCAACTTAATGCTCGCCAACATCGCTGCCTTCTGGGAGGCAGAACTCAAAGGCCGCTAATTGTAATAATGTCAAATTTGGATAAGTCAATTAAAGTATGTTCTTCCCATTTATGAGAACCCAACCTAACATAACCACCGCGGCGCGCTGTATAAATAAGGGTGGTCTGGATAATACCAAAGTACCGATGTTTCCTAATAGGTTGATTTACCTAATAAACATTTCTGATTTGTTCTATCTAAACTGGACAATGTTTACGGTTTATACTAATGTTGTATGTATTTTATTTAATAGGCCTAGCTCAAAACCCATAAAAATTATCCGTTTCAGATGGGACGAAAACAGAAATAATTGCTAAATTTAGGCCTATGTTATTAATGTAAATGAATAAATTACTATATCAGATTATAATTTTATTAATATTAATATTGAACCAGGGCGTCCACGGAAGCGTCGCTAATAGGATTGTAAAATAGTGGTGCAGGACCAGCTGTTAATTGTCCTGCAGGTCAGTTTGGGCTGCCTCAAGTTAGGGTGGCGAAGACTATAGTACTTAAGGTTTCAACTGACATCAAGATTCCCAGTACTCAGGGTATCATTGTATTTTCAGGGTACATAGAACGGGCACATGCTGTTAATAAACAAAAATGTTCAATTCAGAATCTAGATAAAAAATATTTTGTTAAGCTAAATGAATGTAGGCCTAAACAAAATGTTTCTCGTATTTTCAGCTTTTATATTTGACACTCAACAGTTGGAGTAGTAAGTTAACTTACAGTGTGGCCAGTTTTGACATTTTCCCTTCACGTAATAGGGTGTTGGCTATACCCGGTTGATGGTACGGACATAACTTACTATATCCACAATTCACTTACTGATAAGAAACGAATGTGCTTGACATATGTTTTTGTATGCATAAAGCATACAAATTTAATTGAATTTTTAACTAATTCAATGCAAATAAGTTAGACAAAACACTAGCATAAAATAGGCAGCTACGTATTTTAATATATACCGTAAGTTACCTATTCTAATATTTAATTACATTGATCTGATAGTGAATATATTAAAACTTACGACATTATTAACTATTTTTGATTATCGGCTGATCGATATCAAACCACCAGATGTCCAGCTAGAGGTTGTCAACACACTCGTCCGCCCAGTAGACAGATGATCCTTATGCGCACTTGCAGTTCCCCGTTTTACAAGATATTTATTTATTTATCCCAACGGTTTCTCCATTTAATACAGTTTTCTACTAAACTAAGTTAAATTAACACAATTAACGATATTTGAATAGTCAAGGCCGGGGTAGTGCCTATCATGGTGTCAAAATGGTTATGCCTAGTTTAAACTTATTGTAAAGCCGTGGAAGGAGTAGTGACAGTGAGACTGTGTTATATTCCATTAGGCAGCCGGTACATCCAAACAGGGACATATAACTCATTCAAAGAATCCATCATTTAATGAGCGAGATGGCCATCAATGGTTACCTATCGATGCTCATCCCTAACTCAGAGCCATGTTCATAAGTTTCAATTTGTTTTGACATGCAGATAACTTACTGTACATTGTAACGTGGACAAGCCAGCCCCTACGGGGAGAGTACCCAGTGATATTCCTCCATCCAGGATGGTGGGGTGTTCAGCTCTCAGAGAGGTGGTAGTGTGCCATCAATCTCTAATCTGCCTGTGGCTGTGGTTCTTTGGGCTTCGACCGGTTTGTTGTATGCGACCGACATTGTATGTGGCAAATCCTCGACTTTGGAAGTACCTTTTCCTGGAAGGTGAAAATGGGCGAGTGGTCCGTAATCTCACGGGGACACTCTATGGGAACAGAACTTTCTGCTGTGTGAGGGTAACGGTTGGTGGTCACACTCCATTAGCTTACCCCTGTCTCTGAGACCGGTGGGTAAGTATGGTTCCCGAGAGTGTGGGGGGTTCTCCATGGAACCTCAATTGAGTTAAAGGTGTCGCCACCTTTGGTGGATAGGTTCATCCGGGTGGGTCCCACTTCTATACCTGCCTCCGTTTGGGAAACCCTGATGGCCCGGCAGTGATGTTGGGTCAGATGGGCAAATGAAGTAGGTAGATCTGGTGCTGGGATCAAGCCCGCTAGGGGTACCTGGGGATCTATCGCCCTGGTTACCCCTGGTTTCCCAGTGAATGGGATGGCCTCGATCGGGTAGTGGTGGAAATAGGGGAGTCCCCTTTCTCTTGGCTTTGATGGCGGGTTTTGGCCTGTCAGGGATTAGATTGGTCCCGAGTGTCGCTTGCACTGTGTTGCGTCCATGGACTCCATTATGGTCCGTCGGGGTTTCAGCCCTGGGGGAACCCATTTGGAGGGTACGTGAGACCAAGTAACCGGTATCCCTGGTTAGGATTGAGGGGCAACCCTCTTTCCGAAGGGTTGCTTTGGCAGCCAGTGAGCCTGATGGCCTTAAGCCATCCACCTATGGTGTTGTCAAGGTCGGTGCGCAAGCTCCGGCTGGCACCATGGGTCCCGGGTCATGTAATAGACCGGGTGGCCGTCTGGGGGCTTCGGCTCCTTTGACAACAACTAAGTCTAAGTCTATGTACATTGTAAATAGCTTATAAAGTATTTATACTTACTCCTTTGACTTTTTCTCAACATTCTCTTCTCCTTCCGAAGTACATGACCTCTTCATTGTTATATAGATTTAAGTTACCGGTGTAAGTTAAACTAAGATAATATCAATATCGGCTATAAAAAACTAAATCTAAAATATATTAATGAAAAAAATTTCTTCCAGTGTAAATTATATATCTTGAATTAAATTAGTAAACCCTAGACAAATAAATGGACATGCTTATTACATTCTTGTCGTCCGTCTTATGTTTTGTTTTTGACTTGACAGACTAGACAAAACGACAAAACAAACAAACAAACAACAAACTTGAGTGAGAGTGAGACTGAGACCGAGACCGAGCTGAGAGACTAGATTCGTACTGGATTCGGAATCAGAGACCGGTACCACGGCCGGTGGGGCACACGGGAGGGACTAAGGCTAACATAACTTGTAGTTTCAGCGTTCGCCGCTAGAACTGCTAAGTTGAAAAAATTTAAATTATTTATTTATTTTTAGTTATAAAATTAACTTTTTAATTATAAAATATTGTTTTAAAATTATAAAATAAATTTTTAATTTTAAAATAAAACTGTCATAACATAACCTAACCAACCAGACTTGCTGATATTAAAAAAAACTATATAAGATAAAATTATAATAAATTAATGATTACTTATAATTAATTTTAAAATTTAGTATTATAAAATTAAACTGTCATAACCTAACCTAACCAACCAAACTTGCTGATATGAAAAAATTGTTGACAAAATGTTAGTGCTGCCAGCGGATTTCGAACCCGGGACCTCCTGAACACCAACCCAAATCGCTACCAACTAAGCCACGAACGCCGCTGAAATCACGTCGTTTCGTTACGGTAATCGTGTTGCCTCAAGAGAAGACATTAGCCACTAGAGATATGACGTCACTACACCTTTAGCCTTAGTCCCTTCCGTGTGCCCATTCCGTACCACGGCCGCCTTTAACTCCGTAGCCTTTAACTCCCACCATTGATAGACTAACCAGGGAGTTATTAGATTTCTCATCCTAATGGAACAGCTGAAGACAATTTTATTGTTAGTTCTGTACGGTTTATGTTAGAGGTCGTGTTTTGTTTACAATTTGTTTCCCGTTAATACAGTCATTTAAAACCTCGTTTAACCAAATAATACGATCTAATCATAAACAATAAATTGTCCCCTAGTTATTTAACCAAACAGTAAAGCACAAATCAAGAAATTAACCCTAAAATAATATAAACAAAATTTCGTCGACACTAGCGCCCAGTGTGGCGTACATGAATTAGACATGAAAAACGAGCTTCAAAATTTACAATGGGATGAGAAGTCTACTTGTGTTGTTTTGCCTTGCCAAAGGTTAAAGGTTAGTCTATGGTTTTATCAGTCTATGGTTTTATCTATGCTCCCATATATTCTGTCGTCACACGGATTGCAAACAAAAGATCACCTGATTGTAACTGTCAAATTAGTATATGTATTTGTTTTGATTTGTTTTTTTGTTTTAGCGAATTTCCCTATAGGGAAGTAGCTATTACCGTAGGTGGCATGGTAAGACCTAGACTCGGGACCAATTTACTTTTTCATTTTGATGTCCCCAGAGGCCAAAAACACCATTCGTTCAAATTTTTATATATGTATATATATATATATAGACTTATATATATATATATACGTCCGTGAACGCGATAACTTGAGTAATTTTTGTCCGATTTTGATGAAATTTGGTTTAAAGGTGTAAAGCGGGATAAACTTGAATGAGTTCGCGAACTAGCACGATCGGACAATGGGAACGGGGCTTTACAGGGGATTTTATGGGGTAAAAATTGGTTTTTCTCACTTTTGACCCTCAAAACACAAAATTTCCCGATTTCTCTTTGGACCTTTTTAAAGAGCTTAAAAAAACAAATAATTTAGTATATAAAAGAATTTTTGTTTGATTATTAGTAACGGAGAAAATTAAAAAAATTGTAAATTTAAAATTCCCATGTTATTCTTATGGAGAATATTGTCAAATGTTGTAATTTGCTTGTTTATGGATATATTTTGATGAAACTTGGCAAATTTATTTATTTTGTACTAAGCTATCAATATTTTACTCAAAAACACACTTTATTCGTTTCCCTGTAGCAGCAAACCTAGGTACTCGTTAAACCTAATGTTATTAAAATATATTTAACTGAAAATCAATTCAGACAAATGGAAATTCGCTTAGTCGGCAGGTTTGCTGCGGCGGGGGTATTTATTCTTATGAAAACAAAAACGATCAAATCAAAACAAATACATACTAATTTGACAGTTACAATCAGGTGATCTTTTTATTGTTTGCAATCCGAGTGACGTCAGAGAATATGTGGGAATAGCCAAGGCCCCAACCCAATAGCACACCTATGTTTTTTCCTTCCACCATGAGCACAGTTCTAATTTTTTTCAGTAGTTTGGTTTGGATCAATCGTATTTTTAATTACTTTTGTATTGGTGTATCGCCGTTTGCAATAAATATTAAATACTAGGTGGCGTTCGCAGAGGCATCCACAAAATTGAGCGGAGTCGAGCGAGTTCATGTTATATTGTTTTTGTCATACTGCAATAAAAACAGTCGTCTATACGTTGCAGGTCTAAAGTAGCATTTTTACTCTCTAGGGAGTAAAAATAGTTTTTAGCCTCTATGGAGTAAACATCAGCTGTTGTCAACTCAGTTGTAAATTTGAATAGTAAACGATTGCATGTATCTAAAATATGTATCGATTCGTGCTTCGTAATCATTTTAACCTAAAAAGTCTACAGTCTCTTCCCATATCATTTTAGTATTTTAGATACGTTAATCTAATTGCCACAAACATTCCCCACACTCCGCACTGCTACCCTTTACTACTTCTTTCTCCATTTCCTATGTCGTGGGCATGCTTCCATCCCTTCTCATGGCATTTCAGCTTTGCAGATACAAATGGTTTCCAGTTCCCACATTCCATACTGCTCACCTTACTACTTCCTTCACCTCTTCCTACGTCGTGAACCTGTTTCCCTCTCTTCCCATAGCATTTTAGGATTGCAGATACCTTAATCTAATCGTCATAAACAGTTCCCACAGTCCGGACTGCTTGCCTTGACTACTTCCTTCACCACTTCCTACGTCGCAGACCTGTTTTCCTCCCTTCCCATAGCATTTTAGGATTGCAGATACCGTAATCTAATCGTCACAAACAGTTTCCACAGTCCGGACTGCTTGCCTTGACTACTTCCTTCACCACTTCCTACGTCACGGACATGTTTCCCTCCCTTCCCATAGCATCATAGGATTGCAGATACCTTAATCTAATCGTCATAAACTGTTCCCAAACTGCGGACAGCTCGCCTTGACTACTTCCTTCACCACTTCCTACATCGCGGACCTGCTTTTCTCCCTTCCCATAGAATTTTTGGATTGCAGATACCTTAATCTAATCGTCATAAACAGTTCCCACACTCCGGATAGCTCGCCTCGACTACTTACTTCACCAATTCCTACGTCACGTACCTGTTTCCCTCCCCTCCCATAGCATCATAGGATTGCAAATACCTTAATCTTATGTTCATAAACAGTTCCCACGTCCCGAACAGCTCGCCTTTACTACTTCCTTCACCACTTCCCACGTCACGGACCTGTTTCCTTCCATTCCAAAAGCATTTTAGGATTGCAGATGTCTCAATCTAATCGTCACAAACAGTTCCCACAGTACGGACTGCTTGCCTTTACTACTTCCTTCACCACTTCCCACGTCACGGACCTGTTTTCATCCCTTCCCATGATAGCATTTTAGGATTGCAGATACCTTAATCTAATCGTCATAAACAGTTTCCACACTCCATACTGCTACCTTTACTACTTCCTGCACCACTTCCTACGTCACGGACCCAAGCTAGTGTCGTCATTTGATTATATGTATTATCCATACCGTTTTGTCCTAATATCTGTGGAATAATGCTATCAGCTATTTCCTTATTTACTGCATTCAAAAGTCAACAGCTGATCATATGTCTTTGTTTATGTGTCAAATACTGCTTCCATAAGGATTACATTGAAACTTTGAGACCCAGTGGGGCGGATTCCTGAGAGACTATTTTAACGCCATATAGATGTTGGCACTCACCAATATGGTCTTTATCACCATGCAAAATTTCAAAACGATTGATTCAGCCGTCTAGGAGGAGTTTGCGTATTACGAAATGCACAAGAGTCGACGTATAAGAGCTTCGCTCGCTTCGCTCGCTCCGCTCAAAAAATCCGTACTCAATCCCAATCCAATCCAGTCCTAATTGGAATCGGCTTTATCTGGTCATGTCAGCCCAGCCAGTCAGTCAGCCAAATAGCCAATCAATGGTAGGTAATGGTGCCCGTGGGCCGTTAGCTCAGTGGCCGTGGCACGGTGTTTCGTTTTCGGGTTTTCTTTTCTCTGCTCTTTGAGACTGTTCTACTGTTGAATCAAAGAAAGTTGAAATTGAAAGCTTTTAGCTTAGCTTAGGCGAAGGCTCAAGTCAAGATTACTTATTACTTGATCTGTATCTATTTTCAGTAGATATTGTTATTCACTTGTAACACCAAGAATCTTCTTTTAAGAGCCTGCCTGAAAGTTAATTATTCCATCACATTTACGGAAGCTGCAAAATGAATTCCATTGAAGGTAGGACCAATGTAGAAAATGTAGTCAAGGCTAGTTTTAGGTTACTGTCAGAATTTCCTTTTGTTCACAGATAAAGTAACATATTGTAACATTATGTCGAGTAGTAATGGTTTATTTTGATTACCAACCCTTACTTATTTAAGTTATTTAGGCTAGCCTATTTTCCAACAGCATAACTTAGCCACTTTACAAGGAAAAAAAACATTCACAACTTGAGATGACAGAAATAAATAGGCCTAGGCCTAGTATGTAGGCCTAAATAGTTACAGTAACAAAAATAGTGAACAGTAACAAATGATTAGTAACAATATACATATATATATATTATACATGTAACTTATTATACACCTATCTTAATAAATGGCTCAGTGCATCATTATAACTTGTGTGAACCTGGCAATAACTCTGCAATTAGTAGTGTGCGCGCCTTAAAAAATCCATTGCTGGCCGTTTTCCAGAAAAATATGGCCGCGAACCACATTACCGATAACAGAGGACACTCTCTAACCAGGGTGTCTACCAACCGGGAAATCCGGGAAAACCGGGAATTGTACTTAAATTTTTACTGGCCATGAA